CGGCCAGCGGAGCGAGTGTACCAAATGAATATAATTGAGACGATAATAGGCGTATGGATTTCTGTATCCGACACTCGGCGTCTCGCCTTGTTAAATCCGCCATTTCCATTTTTAAGCCATCCTTTTAAACCAAGTGTCTCATTTGGCAAAGTGGGCTAATAGCGCTATTCATTTACCGCTGGACTCCTTCAATTATTAACACACACACACCAACCACCACCATCACTCCACCACCATCGGTGCTGAATTTACAGCGAATAAAAAGAAAGAACTTCACTGGCCCAATCAAACGTGAGTGGTCAGGGAGGTGCAAGAGGAGGGCCGGCAGCTGGCCGGGCCACCTCGAGCAAATGGCCTGAAATTGTCAGCGGGTCGGTCGCAATCACCTGCACTTTCAAGGACCCTTTCATGTCAGCGGAGGGAAGAGGGTGGTTGAAAAAGAGCACAACCTTTGGGGATTCTTGTTTTTGCTTCCACTTTGCTGTGACGACGCACCTTCTGGACAGACTGCATCCATGCAAGCTGATCCTGCAGCTGCCAAAGACAGTTTTTTCTTGAATCTGAGTTTCACGTCAGAACTGCCAAACAATTGAGCCGGACCAAAATAAACATTTGCCCGCTGTGTGAGGTGAGGTGGGGTAGGGTGGGGGGCGTGGCCCGGTTGTGGGACGGACAAATCCACTTCTTAGCAGAAAAAGCCACAAATGAATCAGATCTTTCATCTCTAATTTTTTTTATTCCCCCACCCGCCCTCCTGGCCGTTAATTTGCTCAATATATTAACAATGAACGTGGCTGATCATCGGATGGTCATGCTTCCCGCTTCGCCTCAGGTTGTCGGCCTCTTATCGCCGCTTTCTAATTTCCTGTGTTTGCTAATGAAATGGACCGCGAGGTTTCGGGTTGATTTTTTTTTTTAGGACAAAACACACACACACACACTCTGCTTGCAGGCGGGAGAGTGCGATATGCAAGTCCAAAATGGGAGTACAGTACAGCAGAAGTCAATGTCACTCCATTGGACAGAGGCGTTCGCGCGGACCAGGCGTGTCCAGCTGCGGGCCCGCAGGGGCCACCGTCCCGTCCCGCCTGTTTTGCGGCTCTCCCGGTTGCAACACACCCGATTCAGATGATCAGCTTCACAGCCACCTCTGAAGCGGCATTCGAACGATCCTGATGATTTGAATCAGGTGTGTTGCTCCTTGGAGGCCTGGAAAACAGGCAGGACGGCGGCCCGCGAGGACCCACTTTGGACGCCCCCGGCATAGACCTTGCTCACAAATATTTACGGAAATTCTAAGATGGAGACTTGCCTTCTTTTCTAGAAAACCACTCAGTTCCTGCAACAACAACAACAAAAAACGCCAAACCTGTGGCAGTGAAATGTCCAAGAGGAACGCTTTGTCTTTGTGGTGACATAAATTCCACACATCACAAGGTGTTTTTTTTTTTGTTTATGTTGTTGTTGCTTTGAGCTTTGCTAACTTTCAGACAACCTCAGATGGATGGAACGTAGCGTGCGGTTGATGGGGCTGGAAAATGAAGAGATGCTGTTGAAGCGATGCAAGTTGCTGAATTGATGACAAGATACGACGATGCCCGACCAGCACCTTTTAAACAAGTAAGGAGATGTTTTGAAACGCCTTCACTTAGACGAAAGCTTCACAGTTGTGAGCGCTGGTTCGTGTTCTTGTTTCGAACCAAACAACAGACTTTGGCACCATTAAAAGGGGCTCAAGTACGGGAGTGTTTTTCGGAAATATTTTCTCCATGGTTTGATCATGAAACACAAGTTTGTTCATGCTTACATCAGGTTTGGACTGGGAGACGGCATGTGTAACTTCCTTTTTAAAACGAAAAACGAATGCTTGTTTTATACCCAAAGAAGAGAAAAAAATGGCCATTCATTCCCAGTAATAGTAAATATATATTGCCACCTACAGAAAAAAGCTTCTTACTGCATTTGAGACAAATTTGGTTCGAATTTTTTAAGACACTCGAGTGCGCCGCTAGAGTGCGCCAGAGATTAAATTGTTCTCAGGAAGTCTTTGCTTATGCTGGTAATGCCGCAATGCCTCGCGAGAGGGCGACAGCGATTGACCGACTCGATTTGAGCACGTGACCCGATTAGACCATCCCACGACTGTACATCTGTCCACATTTAAGTTTTGCCATTATATGTTTAGGAAGTTGGAGGACATGCAGTGTATTTCCTAACCATTCACTGAATTCAAAAATATATACTTAACTGATGATAAAATGTTCCGTTTTGTCAAAATGCTCAAAGTTGTCATTTCACAGGACATTCTGTTGACATATTTAAATTCAGAAAAAGCTCAAGTAACCCCATAATATGTTACTAACAGTAATTTGTACCATACGATAACATTTTCATTGACCCATTTATGACCGTATTATGTTGGCTGATTTGGGGCTTCATTTTGTATCCATAAACAATAGCTTTATTTTGATATTACCTAAACTTCCTGAGAAAATTGATTGAACCTGTGCAGCACTATCATGCATTTCATGCGTTAGCTAGTCCTCAACTGATGAAATGAAGAACACGGGCATAGTTATTGGAATTATTCAGCATCATTGTATGCAATGATAAGACATGAAACCTCACATTCTTTCAGGAAGGTTTTCCATAATTGCCCCAAAATGGCACAGCAATTATGATTCAAATTTTTTTTGTAAGACATCTTGCTCAAATGGTCGCATTTGTTGATTCTTCTGGCTGTCAACGCTTTGCTTCCTCTTTCCAGTTCCCCCATAAAAGTGCCAGACACTTTCCCCACCTTTCAAAACGAACCTTCTCAAACATCGTCGAAGTTCTCCAAGAGGGGAACCCCGAGCTCACGTTCAAAAGGTGAGCTTAGCCCGCGGCTCACGTTCAGCCAGTTGGCGCGGGCCTGTCAGTCGGCGGGAAATCAAGTGTGGGATGGGAAGCGGCAGCCCGTTCAAACGGACGCTGGCGCAGCGAAAAGGGAGGAGAGCTGCGGGCCCTCTCGCGCGCTGTCAAGTCAATGCGCTCCTTCACTCATCTGACACGAGGAATTAGCCTCAAACGGACGACCCGTCCCAATCAAAAGCACTGCGCATCGAGGGGGAGTTGCATTACCAAGGATTATAATCATTTTTTTGTCGTGTCTTCACTGATAAATGACCTATTTGTGCATTTTGTGCCCTATTTGTTGTTTTGTGCCAAAAGAGAGTCTCGAAGTCCTGTCTGAATAGAAAGTGAGTCCTGTCATGGAGCCGGGAGGAATCTTTTGATACATCTCGACCACTCACGGCGCAGCTGTTTTCTGGGTTTGGTCATGTGACGTGGGCAGGCAAGCTGAGCCCAGCTGGGGCCGTGATGTCATTTTCAGTTGGGAGCATGACAAAATGGCCGCCCCCAGAGACAGATTAAAAAAAACTTTGGCTACTAAATTGATATATAGATACAAATATTTATGTTGATAAAGCATCAGAATTGCATTTGAAGTCGCTGGCAGGCGCAACATTTCACTTCCGCCATCCGTCGAAATGTCGAGAATCGCTTTCCGTCCGCGCTCATGCATGGCCAGTATATCGCAACGGCAAGAACTCTGCACCCAGCTAACCCACTCGTGTTCACCCCACCCGCCCGATCTCCGCCATCCTCCCCGTCACGTGCCGCAGCCCGTGCTTCTGTGTTCCGGAGGGGGGGTGGGGTCACCATTGCAAAAGTGCGGGGGCGGCATCCGGCAGCTCCCCTGGAGGGGAACCGAGGCGAGATGTCTCAACAACCCAACGGAGCAGACATTGGGAGTCCCGGTAGACCGGCCGTCGCACGGGGTGCAATGCAAAGAGTGAGAGATGCTGTGCGGACAAGCGGCGGGATAAAATGTCACGCAAATGACAGCGTATCCTTGCGGCAGAAAAATCTTGAGTTGGAAGAGCCTTCGAGCCGTTCGGTGCCGTTCCCACTTGAAGTTGACTGTCAAATCGAACAAAGAAAATGACGCACTGTGTTTTTGAAGAACCACAGATTGAAACTGCGCAAAAAGCCTTTGACAAGGCTAACTAATAGCATCCGTGTTAGCAACGGCTAACTGGATACCCGTAGTGGAGCACTACATTTCCAGATAATGCAATAAGACTCAGATGCGTATATTCTTGATCCTCTGCGTGAATCGCCGAAATGACTGTTGCCCCTTGAGCAATGGTGAGGGCTCTCTTGGTGCGTTACTGGATTATACTGCCCCAAGTGTCAACGGCAGGCGTAGTCAGAAGGAGCAGCAGAATGCCCATTGAACTGAAGCAATAATGGGGCCGAGGTGGTCTCATTCGATTTATGTCAGTACTGGATGTTAATATGAAGGCCCATGTTATGGGAGCTATTTTTTCAATTTTTTTTTGGGGGGGGGTTCTTTTGAACTTGATTTATGTCAGTACTGGATGTTAATATGAAGGCCCGTGTTATGGGAGCTTTTTTGGGGTGGCGAGGGAGTGCTTTTGAAATCGATACTGGGTCTGATGTTCCTAATGGAGTGTCGCTCTTGCAGGCTTGCACCCTCCGATGCCAAAGTGTCCATCTGTGTCTGAGGGTCTTCGCTGGACTAAGCCCACACAGTGAGCGGAGAAGTGCATCACAGGTCCACAGAAGCCCTCCGCCAGACGCGGCGTTTGCTTGACTCTTCACCCAAACAGCAAAAGGCAGGG